AGGGATTTCAGCGCACTGGCTCCTTGAGCAAAAGAGATGAGTCACCAGTTATAAAGCAGTAACATCAAATCAATTCAGAGTGAAAATCTAAAGGACTGGCCTCTCGGCTCTCCAAGTTTCTGCCTGGAGGGATCTGAGCAAGCTTCCTCTCTCCTGCCAGCCAGAGTGCTTTACTGCTTGGTAAAAGGCAACTCCCTTCCCCTCTTTGCTTAATTGCATCCCTTAACCCTTTGTACTGGCTTGTTTTTTCTCGATTCCTTTATTCTACTCGGGATTTAATTTTTTAAATACCCCGGATTTTACAAAGCGTGGCAGTAGAATAAAAAACTGGAGTTTCTTTTCATACAAACTTATTTATTTGGATTTTTTTATATTTCAAATTATTGATACATTCAAAGAGTAATTTTAATCTCTATAATTTCTGCTAACCGTGTCGAGTCACACTCGACATCCAAGTGCAAAGGGTTAAAATGGAATGCCTTCTAGGCAACTTTGGCTTTAACTCCACTTTCAGCAGAGAAGATTCAAGAGCAAATATAAGGTTAACATGATCTTATTGTAATCACCCATTTTCAAAGGGGCTGGCAGATAAAATCCACATCAGGCAAGGGTTTATTTCGAGTCCTGGAGGCATCCTCTAAGACTAAGAGGCAGCCTAGTGAGGAAACACAAAGAGCAAAGATGTAATCGTGATGGCTACCTTTTTGACATAAATCTCATCTAATCCTCAGGTACATATTGTGCATCCCAATAAACAGGTGAGAAAACTGAGGCTTCAGATAGACAAACTGCCTGAATTTGTAGGACAGCTAATGTTTGAGTCCAGTTAATCTGGCTCCAAAACCCATTCTTCCTATTACAGAAAGCTGCCTCTCTCAATAATCCATAGGCTCCTTATAGACGGAGAAAGGAAGTTGCTGGAGGAAAGAAATTATATTTGTTGAGGCCAGGAAAAAATTAACTATATGATAGAGTAATCCAATTCTGCTCCCTTTACAGGATGGATTATGGAGAAAATAACTCTCATCTCAGCACAAACAGTTCCATTCTGACACCACGCTACCACACCGCCCTGGTGAGAAAGCCCTGCAAGGCCATGTTTTCTGTACAAAGGCATTAAAACCAGAAGGGCCCTCACTCAGATGTCATAAAGCAGGAAGAACTCGAGAAACGCTCATTAACTCTTTAAGAACTGATTTTATGTGCCTCTTCCTTTCCCTGCAAGAAAGGAAGGGAAGAAAGGCCTTCCTTTCTTTCATCATTGGTCCCAATATGTTCAACCTTCTATCATATCTGTATACAAGAAGCCAGATATAAAGAAGAGGACACAATGATAAGAAAGGAATTGACAGTACCACTAGACCAAAATGCCAAGACTTCATCATTGGGGTAAATTTATTGCATCGGAACTTCTGAAAATTGAAGCTTGAATGTTAATTTCCCGAAGACTTCTAGTTATGATGCATCATATTGAATAACAATCACTGCTCTGGAGAGAGGTCCTATAAGAATGATTCAATCAAGATTTCACCCCTGGAGATTCTATGGGATTAGAGAAATGTAAAACTCAGGTATCTTTTAAAAATTCATTAATCCTAATGAACTGATGCCACATGCTCCCCCTAAGGTCTAAATCTGGATTTGGGAAGCGACATTTCACACTTACTCCATCACCACTTATTATATTAGGACGAGTGGTCACCAGTGCTTCTTAGCAAGTACAAGTCTTTAGGTCATCTCTCTGAATAAGATGAAAATTAAAAATTTCACAGCTCAAATCACATAGATTCCACAGCCAAACCAAATCACTATGTGGAAATTCAGATGGCTGAAAAACTAAATTTAATGAAAAAAAAAAGAATGTATTTCCACACATGGAATTTATGTACCGTTCTTTCACTTCTGAAGAGTTCCTACTTTCCAGTAAGGTTATTTGCTATGTTCTATATTCTGAAGGCAGTGGCTGTCTTCCAGATTTCTTCTCAGGCTTGGGAAAACTTTTGTTTTACTGCTCATCTTGCTATACTTCCAGTAACGCTAAGAGAAGAAACTATATTCTAAGGAAGGACAGCCCATGCCCCTTCTCCTGTGTCACTGACAGTAAAGTGTTGATTTAATTAAAATGAATACATGCAAAAGAAGTGGGAGAGTAATAAAGTGGTTCTTTCCAAGTATGAAAAGAGAAAGAAAAAAAAAAACCTCTAAGATTCTGTAAGTGTGATTTTGGTTTCCTATAACCTCAGCTGTTAAAAGGGTAATAGCCCATCTCTTCTCTATTTAGTTACTGGATTTAAGAATTTTTTTTTTTTAATTATAGTTTTCATTGAAATCAGGTTGAGATTTTTAGAAGCAGGTAGCTGAACCTCTCAAAACAAAAACAAAAATTCTAAGCTGAAAATATCGAGTAAAACAAGCAAATATGCTGAGTTCAAAATAAATATTTTTTTAAAAATTTCTTTAAAGTATATAATGAGCTTTTCTTGTTTTTTTCCTTATTAACGTCAAGAAAATTTTTGCACTTTAGGTCTTGCGTTCCAAATAAGAATGCATGCTCATAAGCAGGTCTGACCTATAGTGACCACCGATATTTTACAAAGCAGAAATGAACATACATTACTTTCAAAAAGCTGATATTTTTGCATTTATTAAAATCAAACTGCAGTTTATGTTATAACCTACAATAACTGACAAGTTAATGATGTTACAACAATGTAATGATGTTACAACTCCAACCTAATTCCATGGCAGAGTTGTTATCATCTCAAATCTTGAAAGGTCTGTCTGCCATGTAAACATTTTAGTGAGGCCAAAGTAGTGATACTATATTGTGAATCTTAAGCTGATTTTCAAAAGGATGCATCACATTTCCACATCTATAATACAACTTTATTAACAAGAATACATGCCAGCATATTTTATATATGGCAAGGACATTCCTATATATGAATGGCACATTATCATCTAAGAGTTTTAATCCAGAATGAAGTTTTTAATAACATACTAATATTTCATATGACTGTTTTAAGAATTAAATAATAAACAATTAAAATTTAACATCGCTTAAAAATTATACAAGCCATTCATTACTATTTATCATTAGCTGGAATCATTCAAATATAACTTCTATTTTTAAAAAAGATACTATGCCTCCTTTACAGGCCAAACATTTGTAAAGTGGTTACAAAAGGCTGTGACAACAATAATCAGCTCCTGCCCTTACCCCAGTTCCTTCTCTCAAAGGGCAGTGGGGCTAAGGTAGTCACTTCTTAACACAGTGTACAATTATATACAGGGTGATCATATAATTTATTCCCCAAATTAGGACACTTTTCAGAGTGAGCATTATTTAATTAAGCTGGGAAAACAGGAATAACCAGGACTGTTCTGAGCAAATTCAGGACATATGTTACTTAAGTATCACATTCGCTATCAGTACTTCCATGCTTTTTGAAAGGGTACATACCAGTTGAAAAAAAATTGTATCAAATTAAGGAACTCCGAATTTTTCTACAATTGGATATTCTGGGTTCCACTTTTCTTATTATAAGAAGTTTTACTGGAAATATTAGTGATTATTATTATAACAGGTTAAAAGTCTATGACCAACTTCAAAGTCATGTCATGTCTAAAATGGGATATATCTTATAGACTCAAGATAATAGGTTAGAGATTAACATTTTTCTATAAGGCAGAGATTTTCATTTTAATTAAACGTAATGGGATTTGTATTTTAATTTTAAATTTCTCAAATCTCTTGAATATACAACATAGAAAAACGTATTTTTCCTTAAGTTTGTTGAATATAGAAGAATGGATTATTCTAGCTATAACTTACTCAAATATAATAGAAATAATTTAAGAAATTTTTGCAGTAACTTCCAATCCTAGTTCATGTTCATTCAAAAATGTTTACACACCCCAACAAGGGTTTTAATTTTCAATCATTAAGGCAAGAGTCCAACGGTGGTCAAGTGTCCCCATAAGACAACAGCAGCTGTTCAAGCTCACAGGAAATGAAGGGAAGTATGAAGAATTTGAAAGATCTGGAAGGGAATGTTAAGTTTTTGAAAATAATGTTTTGATTCCCTTGCTTAATGAGATTTAGGGCTACCATTAAATTATACCAATTGTAGAAGATTAAGTAACATGTATACTTGAACCTTACAGATTTGGGGGAAAAAATCAAAACAAAAAGTGAAGTTTTGATGTTAGATCAAAAGTAACATATTCATACTCAGAAACCAAGTATAAATACCACAAAAACTAAAATGAAATTTTAATAAATTGATGTTTGATGGCTGAGCTTCCTAAAATTATCATGTATCAAAGCTTAATTTCATTTAAAAATTATTGAAAGAACAAAGTATAGGTCTATAGAAAATTAATTATCCAGGCCGGGTGCAGTGGCTCACACCTGTAATCCTAGCACTCTGGGAGGCAAGACAAGAGGATTGCTTGAGCTCAGGAGTTCCAGACCAGCCTGAGCAAGAGCGAGAAACCCATCTCTACTAAAAATAGAAAAATTAGCTGAGCATGGTGGCGCACATCTGTAGCTCCAGCTATTCGAGAGGCTGAGGCAGTAGGATTACTTGAGCCCAGGAGTCTGAGGTTGCTGTGAGCTAGGCTGACACCACGGCACTCTAGCCAGGGCAACAGAGTGAAACTCTATCTCAAAAAAAAACACCACACAAAAAACAGAAAATTAATTATCCAGCATGAGTTCGAGTTTGTGTATGTTAGTAGTACATTCTAATTCTAATTAATTTCCAAATTAGGCAACTAAATTAAATACTTTGTTTTCTTTACCCCATATTATTGTTTTACTTCAAGGGGTGTCAAAGACAGGTACTTTAATTGACAATAAAAATTCTATACAAGGGTGTAAACTAAATGAGGGAAAACAAAAAAAATAGGAGGCTTAATTAGCAAAACAAAACAGTGTGTTTTATTTATCAAAGACAACGAAAAAAATTAGAAAATACAGAGAAATACAAAAGAAGTTATAAAGCATAATAAATTTTATTTTTCAGCAATGGAAAAATGTCCCTGGATAATTAAATGTACCTTTTAGTAGTAGTGTCTAATAATAAATAAGTAATCAATTTTATATATTCTATCTAGCTATATTAAATATTTTTTAGGTTTAAAAGATGATATACCATAATTTTTAATGTTGGTACTCAAAAGCAAAGATATAACTGAAAAGCAGATGAGACATAGAATGATTTGCAAGATATGAAATATAGTAGCTTATGAATGTAGATTAGATTCCAGTTGTGACAATGGTGACACACTCTCATCACACACACACACACACCCCTAGATTCCCCAGACACATTTCCATAACTTGAAAATGGGTATTTCACATATCTCAACTTAGGATATGTTTTTTACAAGTTAATCTATAATCATAAAAACCAGAAGCTATTAATAGCACAAAATTTTATTTGCTAAGCTTAACAAATTAAACATCTAAAGAACAAATTATTACAATGATATTGAAAGATACTTTTATTGGCTTTTTAAAAGACAAATGCAAATGAGAATATTTGGAAAATTAATTTTCAAAATTATCTTAAATGAAATAAATATAATATCTAATACAACCTCTTCCTGCAAGAATCTCTAAGATGGGCAATCCTAGAAAACAAGCTTCTTGTTTGAAAATCTCTAAAATTAGTACGTCCCTTAAAAATTTTTTTTCTTATAAAGGACATTTGGTATACCCTCATTTCCTTAACATTTGTCTTAAAAACAAATTCTATCTTTAACACTCAAATTTTCTATATATATATTTAGTTCACTTAATTTAAAATCAATGAGAAGATATCTAGACACAATTTCTAAGAAAACAATGCAGAAAGTACTTTATGCATGGTTATTTACAGGAAGAGTTTTCCTAAATAATAATGTAATATCATGTTCAAAAATCTGACAAATCCTTTCCAATAATCAGCACTGCAGGTTTCAATAAACTTTATATATAACAAAAGATGTTTCATATATAGAATTACCAGATGAATCTAAGACCCAGAAAGTAAAAGCATTTGACATGGTTAATAATTTCATTTTTATTACACTAAATGTCAGGTCAGAAGTCAATGGCATTTACATGCTGGAAGACTGTTTACCACTCAACTCTTTCAATTATATCAAACACTGATTAACCAAATGTGACTGGACTTTACTGGTACAACTTTAAGGTTTCTTTCAAGTATATGCAAATCTTTTAAATGGGCACATATGCACATGTGCAAAACAAATGAAATATAGATAGGTAAAGAATGAACAGAAATGGCTTTTAAGTATAAACCACCCTGCTATTCAATTTTGAAGCTCTATCTTTTCTTCACTAATTTGTCTTCTGTTATTAGTAGTCTTCTATCCTATTAAAGTTGTAGGTTTACAGATGATCTGGAAATTTCACATTGGCATAAGAAAGGAATGTCGGGCTGCTGTAGTCTAGGGACAAAGAAATAATTAGTCTTAAAATGTACTAAGTTGCACTTATCTAAAGCATAGTATAATAAAAGCCCATTTTATAGCAGTATTACATAAGTATACAATGTTCTTTTGATAAAGATAACATCAAGTAGTATATAAATCAGAATATATTCTAAAGTGTAAAGCTTTAGGATACCTGCATCTAGAACATATGTACATTATATTTTAGACTCTTCAAAATGCAAATAAGATAATCACACTACTCACAGAATAACATTCAGATTAGTAAAATTACTTTGTCTTTTATCTTTAGTGCTGGCAAACTCTCAGTGCCATTGTTTACAGATATTTTACTTGTTAAAAAGAAAATGTGACATCTTCAGGGCGAGGTATCTTAGTGGAACATTTAAAATGATGTATTAATATGATCCAGAAATACAACTATATTCACTGTACTCTTCAGTGGACATAAGTAAACAACATAAGCTTATATATAACTCATAAATAAAATTTAAACAACCAAATCACAAACCACACAATTTATTTATAAAAAAGAATACTTATAGTAACCCTGAAACACTTTGTCCTTGTATTTTAGTAGACATTTTGCTTATGAAGTTCAAATACTTTTTAAGTTTAAATTGAAGTATATGGTACATTCTTTAAAAAATAGGATAGGAAAATAAAAATAAAATATAGGATAAGGTGTAAAGATATTAAGTCTCTTTATGTACAGATTCTCCTGGCTGCACAATAAATAAATGCTATTACTATATACAATGCCTCCAGAAACTCACTTAGTAACTAGTAAGGCACACCCTACTCATTTCTTTATATTTCATTTATTCAAGTTGCAGTTTTCATTGTTGACACACACTGACACATTAAGAAAACAGTAACAGAGCTCCTATTTTCTTTACACAACTTTTATTCCTTGATCCAAATTGCTAAGATGACTGCATGACAATTTGTTTTTCAATCACAGATTTATTTTTTGTTTTTTTCACCAGATGCTTATATGGATTTCACATTGTTTTATGCAAAGTGTCAATCCCTTCTGTGTAAGTACTTTGTCATATTTGCTTTTTTTAAGCCTTCAATTTTGTGCTGGTGGTTACTTCGTATATTTCCTGTGCTCAAGCTTTAAAAAAAGTTTTAAAAGTCTGATTTAAAGTTACAGTGTATTCATTCTATATTTAAAAAATTAAAATTTATGAAATTCAATTTTAAAAATGTAAAAGTTGTCCAAAAGGTCTATAAACTTATTAAATTTCAGTAAGCTATTAGAAGTATAAAATATTAAATATGCTAACTTTGGGTAAAAATCATGAGTATTCCCTTAAGCATTTACCATGTATCTGGTAAATCTGAATGCATAAAGGGAATAAACAGAGTTAATACATTAATATTTCTTACCTCTATAACAAGAAGAAATATCTTGTTCTATGAGCAGCTGCCATACTTTCAGACATGTTTCTGACTTTAAGATAATTAACAAATCCTCTAAAGAAAAGCAGCAGGCCTGAGAAGGTTGAAATAATACAGGTATATTATGTTCTTATACAGAAATGGGTCATGATAAATTTAAAATAGACAATTATAACTAAGATCCTCTTGGCTTAAGAAAAGGAATTTAATCTGCAGGATTCCACACATTCCATAATATATTTTACACTATAATGATAACTCCGTCATGAGGAAATACAATAAAATTTTATTGCCGCCCACATTCTTTCAATTTGTTAGTCTTAGATGTATGCAAATTAAAGGGAATTCAGCTATGAAAATCCAGAATTACACAAAAATATACATTTATTAAGATTCCTTTAAAAAGCAAAATTACCTGATGCATTTAAACTGATTTAACTCTTAGAAATCCCATTTATACTGTACTAAACTTACCAATTAATATAACCACTAAGCAAACTAAGACATATATTCTTAAAGTAAGTAGAGAATATATGCATGTAGTTGCTAACAATTGTGGGAGAAAACAAATAAGCTTATCTATAATAGCAATATCAAGTACTTGTCATCTGTGAAATCTGTACTTGATATGTACATTATATACATATTTTTAATTATGAGTTCTTATTTTCAAGCAATAATAAAACACTAATTTATAATACAAATTATGATAAATGAGAAAAGAAGTAGCTTGGGGTAAAAAAAATTATGATAAGAAGAGTCAGGAAAGATTTGGGCAGGCACTCATTCTAGTGATTTCTTAGATTATTTGGAATACATCTTATATCTATCTCAGTTTTCTCCTATAAATTAGTATTTTAAAATAATAACCACCTACATCTTTAATAATTAAAAAGGCAATGCCTGTGAAATGCTTTAATGTTTCAGATGAAAAATATTAGATAAATATAAAAACATTACCATTATTAGTTTAAGCCTTTGAAATATTTAAGCATATAATTCTTAGGGAAACATTCATTAACTCCAGTAAATTTTTAACCAGGAAATGGGGGGGCACAAAAACACAAACATGTACTATATGTGTGTAATTCTTCTCACCAGGAGGAAAAAAGTCTGTGAATTTAAAATAAAGAAGTCCCAAACTAAATTTGTATTCCAACTCCAAGACAGTATTCAAAGCACTAAAAAAAGAAGCATGTTTGTAATAAATTGAAGAGGAAAGATAGAAGAGATTGACAAATGATGATTTAAACAAGTGGTATAAATTTCAACTAAATCCAATCCCATCTGCTTCCCATATCCTAACTAACTCCCTCTCTCTGAATTCCACCCTCATGCCCTTCCACCAGATGCTGTTCAAAGATAATGAATCGTTATCTAAATATAAAAATATTATCGAAAAATGTAAACTAAAATTATTTATGAGACCTTTCTTTTGTCTATGAAGCTGCTATTTCTAAGATACATTTTGTTTCTTCGCAGGCATTTTCTAAAATAAGCCAATTCATATCTAAAAACCAATCGCTTGGTGGCCTTTATTTCTTAGCATTCTACAAAGTGCTCAATATTCTTTTTAGTGTGACAGCAACATTTTTATCAGTGATTAAATTTTCACATTCCCCTAAATAAGTGCTAAACTATGGCTCTGAATGTGGAACTGGAATTGTCCTCTGCATTCTACTCTGCCCCTCACAGTGACCTTCCTAAGAGTCCTCTAATCTCTAAATAATATATATAAAAACATACTTGTTTGATATGCTTAAAAACTTGATAGACTTTATAAGTTTTTTCCATTTTAGGTAAGAAACTCAATAAAGAACACAGAATACAGTCAGTCAGAACAGAATTAACAATATAGAATTGGTTTAACCCCATATACAAGTCGGACTCCCTAATAAAGTCATAACACTAAAATAATTTCACTATAGTTATCAGAAAAATAATTTATTGACCTTAACTGACCACTAAGATTTTGTTTCCCAAAAGATTCCAAAGATCCGATAGCATGACTAAATAAAAACTCAAAGAGAAGACTGCCACCTACTGAAATGCTATTATTTTCTGGTGCAATTCTTAGAGAAATGTGGGCTTTTCAACCTAAGTAGAAACAAAATGTATTCTTCAGGTCAGTAAATATATTTGAAATGTAGATGAAAGGTATAATGTGATTTTAAGATTAACTTAATTATCACATGCCTAAAGTGAAAAACACAAGGGGAAAAAATTGCAAATCGATAAAATTCCAACAATATTAATAAAAAGACATACCTTATAAGAAGACAACTCAACAAAAGTACTGTGATCATTAGGCATGAAGCCTTTCCTTATGCCTGGCTGATTAATGATTAATGCAGGGCACATTTCAAAAGCATAAAGAATGTTTTCATGAACCAAAAATACAAGAAAGGATAGAACAACCAAACTATCCTGCTCTCAAACTTCCTAAAATCATTAAAAGAAACTATGCATGTATATTTCTAAGATCAATGCTAAAGACAATTTTTGTTAGTCATGTTAATACTTTAAAATTCTGTAGCATTCAATTATTATTCAATTTAATGACTCATTCTTTACACTGACAGCCTATAGATTTTAAATCTAAGGAATCTGGAGTGCTATATAGAATATTTGAAAAACTGAGATGATATAAGTGTTTGGATATGAGAATTTCATAGTAGAAAAATTATTTCCATATAAGTTGTAACATAATTTTACATCTTACAATTTTAGGAAATCAAAGTTAAACTAAATACAAATTAAACTGAAATGCACTAAGAATAACTTACCAAGTACAAGAAATATCCACCAAAGCCAATATTGTCCATTGAAATATCCAGTAAAATAATCAGAAAACTGTGAAATGAACATAAATATATTAACCTCATTTGCATACCAAAATTTGAAAATCACAGACTATCTTTAGTTTCAGAACTATTTACCTCAAACAATCTTTAACATTTAAAAATAGCACAAAAAGAAAAATAAAAATACTTGATGACATGTATTAACAACATACATATATATATAATTATTTGAGAAAAATCTCTTATGCAATATCAAACAAACTTATACAAAATATTTTAGAAACAAAAAACAATTTCAAACTGCTTGCAAGAAAGAAAAGTAAATGCTGTATATCTGAATTATCTGAATCACACATTTTCTCATTAAAGAATTCACATGTCAGTCCTTTTTTCATACTCTCTCAAAGCCACAACTACCATCCCAAACACGCTATGGCAACCCGCTGCTTTAGATATTAACACCAAAAGCCACATTAGTTTAATCTTATCAGATGGGGATGTTCTAGTGACCTCTAAAAAGAAGAGCTTTTGACCTTCTGTACATCCCCTACTGTTAATCACTGCCAAAAATACTAGGCACATAAAGACCCCCAACTCATTAGAGTCTTTTTATTTTCAAACTAGATGCTCTAGCATTCAGTTCCCAACAGTGAGCTGAGAACAGCTAAATGAACCTTGAAGTGGCATTTCAACAGTTTCTATTAGTGGCCATGGTAGACAGTTTTATATTCTCTGTGATGTGGGAATATGAACAGGCAGATGGAAGGCAGGGTTTGGTGATATTGGACACAGGTATCTTTTCCTTGATTAGATTCTAGACATCAAACTTCACTAACTTAAAAAGGTTTAAAAAAAAATCATTCTAATTCAGTTACTTCAGATAATTCTTCTCTATTATCCTTTACTATTTAAACAATGCCCAAATAATTATTTTTTTAAAGTGTTTAATATAACCTACTCTAAAACTACTAAAAATTAGCTTGCATTTACCTTGTTTCCACTGATCTGCAAACTGAATCTGATTTAACTGGAAATAATACAGTGTTAAATGCAGATTTGCCCTCAAATCTGAAATTAATTAAAAGTATTTCTACCTTTATAGGTAATTATTTTCAGCTACAGCTATTTGTTGTAATTTCCATAAAAGCTTAAAAATCCTATAAATTTGATAATAAAACATGTTTACAAATTGTAAATAATGTCACCATTTAAGGAAGCACATCAAATAAAGATTATCTAAACTGTTATTTAAAGCCTTTTAAGTATTTTTCTCAAGAAGTATTTTCAATGAATAAATAAGCCATGATCTAAATCAGATTATAGTTTTAGAAATTTCAGAGATTTAAAATTTCAAAGTAATATTAAAGCTGCAAATCCCACATACTCCTGCACCTTTAAAATATGTAGAATGAAGGGACAATTGGAAAAATACAGCTTATAAAGTAGGAATGTACTATATTACTTTTAAATTAAGTGATTAATAATTAGAAATAAAAGATTTTCATATAGGTTTTAGAGGCCATAAGGACAAAAAAGAATAAAAAACCAAAGCAATATTTTTAACTTTCTGTATATGATACCCATTAAAGGCAACTAGAAAACCAAGAACAGTCATTATTCACCAAAAATATTTACCATATAGCTATTTCTTATTTACTACCAAGGAAAGAATATTATTACCTTCACCTTGAAGTCAAAGAGAAAGACTCACTATGTAAAAAGGATAAAGAAATAAGCCTTTGGACTCATTACTAGGCTATCAAAAATGTTCTAAGATACTAAAACATCACAGGCTGAGCCACACTGTTGTTTTTTCAAATAAGTAAACCAATCATGTTGATTGGCCAACGCAGAAATCAAATTTTGGAAAATAAATTGACTAACATTAAGAATTTATCTGATTTTATTTTATTAATATAACACCAGTACTGTTTGTACCCTACTTTCAAAAAAAACTTGTTAGTTTTTAACATTAATAAAACACATAGGCATTTTAAAACAAACAATAAAAACATTAAACGCCTTAGAAGTTATATAAGAATCTGAGGTTCACGGCAGCGCAGAAACACAAAGAAAGCAGCAGTATGATTTACAAATTACATATTGTCTAATGAAAGGAAACACCAGGGTTTTAGGAGAAAACCTTTCTCTCAGCACTAAAAGTGCGGAATTTACTGCTTGGAGCATTATAGTAAGTCAAAGTACAGTGTCACAGAGGCAGTACAGAATCACGAGAATAGGCGCAGAATAGAGACCAAGCTCAAAAATTCTAATCCACACGAAAACTGTGGGTCCCTGAGCAAGTTTTTAGACATTATTTTAGTTTCATCACCAACAAGATGACTGGATCATCACCAGCATCAGAGATAGAGATAAGGTTAAAAAATTTGGTGTTTGTAACAAATTATGCCTAGAACACACTAAGTGTTCAATGAATGGGCAGCTATTATTATTTTATACAAAAGATTTTAAAAAATCCTTTTCATATATCAATTCTCAATATTCACTAAAGATATAACATTGTCCTTAACTCAGTAAAGGTGTTTTAAAGGGAAACTAAACAGTTCTGGTGATCAAACTTGAAGCTAGTATATACCCTACAAAACTGTGAGAAACTACAGTCTTTGAATTAAGTTCCCCATCTTATCACATTAACCCTTTTCAACCTGGGGTTCTAAGAGAGAATCAGGTTTGAATACCCTAAAGGCATAGGTTGTATATAATGCATTAACTTCTTTCTTATGGATCTAGTGATACTAGTAATTTACCAACTTTAGGAGAATTTAAAAAAAATAGTCCTCAAATTATTTTCTGTGTTCTGGGATTTACAGGAGAAATCCTATTTGAATAATAGTACTTAATTCTATTAGTATCATAACCAAGGTTGGACATATCTAGAACCAACTCTTTTGAGGATTTTCTAGTAGTAACTTCTACAAGGGCAAGGATTGTGTCTTTATGCTCCCTAACACCTAATAGGTTTATGTCATGGTAGGAACCTACTATATATCTTTGAAATAAAATTAAAACAAGAATCTGCCAGAGGACAGTTCTTACAATGTCCCAGATTTTAATCATCTTAGGAGAAACCAGTCCCCAGGTCCCAACCAAGAATCAACTGATTAATAATAAAACCTATAATCTGGTCTGAACCAAGACAGGGCCGTCTGTCTGTTAAGACTACTGAAACCCTGGGAAGCTATAAATATAAAAATAATGAAGAAAGCCAGGTACGGTGGCTCATGCCTTTAATGCTAGCACTTTGGGAGGCCGAGGCAGGAAGATTACTTAAGGCCAGGAGTTTGAGACCAGCCTGGGCAACATAGAGAGACCCCATCTCTACAAAAAATAAAAAACAAGCATTCATTCTCCTAGGGCTTATCCTAAAAACACCAGGAAGAAACATTTGTAAAGAAAAGCTAAAAGCAGACTTTGAAAGGCCAAGGTAAAGAGTTGGGGGAAGATTATGCTAACCAAACTAATGCCTATGCAATTTTGGGGACTAGAAAAGTTACTGAGATGGGGAAAAGAAAAAGATTTATCTTTGTCTCTCTACATACCATCTTGTAACTAAGAAGTAGAGAGGGTGACTTCAGGGCACAACAGGAAAAAGAGAAGAAAAGCTTAAAAGAAACACAAGGGACAAAAGATGAGTTCTGATGGTCACTTTCACAGGCCTCCACTTTACTTCTGAGCTCTCAATGTGACAAAAAAGTAAAAAGATACTTAGGTTCATGATAATTTCACTAAAATATAGAAATGTTTATGTTTTAACTGATTTTAGGCACACTGTACCATATCACAATAATAATAGTCATGATTTTACTAAGCATATATATTTATGCAGTAATTGGGCAAGGTACTTCAATTATATTATTTCTATACCAATAAAAATCCTGCAAAGCAGTTATTAATTATCAGCCTATTATGAAGAAACTAATGCTCAGAACAATGAAATTACTTAAAGTTAGAACACAGACATAAAAAAGGTAAAATTCAATCTTAAATTTTTCTGATTTCAAAGTTCTTTCCAATATATTAACAATCTCTCATATAATAAAGTTATAAAATGTTGATCCCATAGAGATTACTATCATAATTAGGTACAGAAAATAAGAATAACCTTGAAATAATTGAATTCATGTGCATAAAATGAACATTTATGAATCACACAGAAAATTTCAATCCTTTTCATTTTAGAGGTAAAAGAAATACGAGCTATCATCAAGACACTCACCCTGACAATAAGGATCCATTTGATCAGTGAAAGGCCAAATCCACAGATAGCACCATACCTTCCAGCTATGGTATTGGTGATACAGAAGGATAAACAGAATCCAAGCCAGTTGAAAATAAATGCCACTAAAAGCAACAGATACAGTTCATTTAAAAACCACAGTTTGGAAACAAATTAACACAGAAATGACATTAAATCATTAACTACATTACTCAATGGAAACGGCATTTCCTTTTCTATGCCAATTAACTTTCTTTATAGAAAGTTAGACTTTATAGACTATAGCTTATACCTTTTACAAATGTATTACATATTTACTACACTGTACATCAAGAGATGAGTAAGTTTGATTTCTTGTCAGTTTGGGCCACAGGAATCAATTTCTAAAAGCTTATCAATGGGTGAAACTAATTTTTTTTTTTTTTGAGACAGTCTCACTGTTGCCAGGGCAGGAGTGCTGACGCCATGGCCTAGCTCACAGCAACCTCAAACTTCTGGGCTCAGGCTATCGTTCTGCCTCAGTCTCCTGAGTAGCTGGGACTACAGGCATGTGCCACCATGCCCAGCTAATTTCTTCTATATATTTTAGTTGGCCAATTAGTTTCTTTCTATTTTTAGTAGAGACAGTGTCTTGCTGTTGCTCAGGCTGGTTTCAAACTCCTGACTTTGAGCGATCACCTCGGCCTCCTAGAGTGCTAGGATTATAGGCATAAGCCACCACACCCAGCCAAAACTACATTTTTAAACCAGCTAAAAACCAGGTTACAATATAGCTCTCATGTGGTCCCACCCAAGAAGTCCAGCTTAATCAATCAGCCAACAAAATTGGCTTTTTTAAAAAGGTAAAATAAAACAACCAAATTTAATACTTTACAGATATTTTATGGTTTTAAGGTATTTAGATGTTCCTTTTCTGAGTTCACTCATAATATGTAATCCTATCTAAAAGCTATATAAAAACACAGCTTTCCATGGACAGAATAATGTACTGTTTTCCAATATGTGTAGTGTCCAGATAACCCCTTTACGAACTGTAACTTTTTTGACTTGTATATGGTAGGTGCTCAACAGAATTTACTGATTAAAGATGCTCAACAGCATTAATAATAGTTAGAGAAATGCAAATTAAAACACAATGAGATACTTCCACAGTTCTTTTAAAATGTCTAAAATAAAAAAAAATTTTAAATGTTAATACCAAATACTGATGAGGATGCAGAACAACCATATTTCCCCAAAAATAAGACAGGGTCTTATATTTATTTTTCCTCAAGAAGACACCCTAGGGCTTATTTTCAGGGGATGTGTTATTTTTTTTAAGTACAGTACAACAATCTACATTTATTCAAATAGAGTTAAGTGTCTTCTGGTACATCATCATAACTCTCCAGACCGTGATCCATCCTGAATTTCTTACGACTCTATTTCCTTTAGAACCATTGGCCCCAATCTCTCATGTTGAGCAACAGAGCTCTCATTAAATGAGCAGCTCTTATCCATGTAACCTGCTTGGAGTGCAGGGTCCAATCTGCACAGTGCAGCAGAAATGATCTCTCTGGGCTCAGTAGGAGACTGCTTGCTGAAGCTTTTCCCCTACCCCCTGGTGTTTTGGGGGCTGAGAGAAGCCCACAGTGCTGAGTACAATGGCAGCCACAGCTTTCCTTCTTCCCCCTGGGGACACACAATACCTAAAGCGGAGCGTCCCGCTCCTCACTTCACTGAGGAGACTTTCCCCTCAAAGCCTCAGCTTGCAGCACGCACAGGATGGCTGGGACCTGACAGGGGGAGCAGACCTTGTTGGTGGGGCTGCCCGCACCTTTCTGGTCACCTCTGGGTTAGTAGCTGTCACGATGGGGCAGATGAGAAGGGCTGCTCATCTTCTTTACCACTCTGCAACGAAATGCATGGGTTGTGCAGATAGGCTGCGTAGCCATGCCCACCACTAGGTCTTATTTTCAGGGTAGGGGTTATATTGTGCAAATGCTTAGAAATCCTGCTAGGGCTTATTTTATGGGAGGTCTTATTTTCGGGGAAACACGGTACATTTCTCCCTTTACATTTTCTGAAAAAGAACATACAATTATCTTATCAAATTTAAGCATAAACTTTTTTTTAGAGTTATGTAAGGTAAGGTGTTGAAAACAAAGAAGGCAAGAATTAAACCAACAGAAGGTTTTAATTGAAATGTTCTTATCGATATTCACTGTAGGTTTTATTTGTACAAGTTATATAACCTGAAATGCTTAAGTTCTAAACCACATTAAACAAAATCTACTTTTTACCAACAGTAGTTCCAAGATCATTTAAGTGGCATGAAAAATACAGTAAGTTGCAATTTGAGGAACAGCCACTAGATGGTAGTAATTACAAATAAATCTATGCTTATCAAAGCAAATAAGCTCTAGTCCTACTAGAAAAAACATCAGAAAATGAAGGTAAAAAATATAAATTTACTCTTATAATATTGATGTAATGTAGAATAGAAAGCATAAAAAAATAAGTTGTAGAAAAGTTAGTAAAAGATAATTTATATTAAAATATTTATATTAACTAATATTAATATTATACTAACACTAGCTAAAGTCATCTAGTGTGTCTAAGTTACCATGAATTTACAGCACTTATATCAGTGAAATGTTTTCAAATCTAAAAAATTTAAGATTAAAAAGTGATACTGGGGTTAAGTGGAATATAGAAATGGAGAAATAAGAACTCTCTGAGTGACCTAATTAAATGGTATCAAATAACACGTTTTTATTCCTAAGAACAGATATTCATACTAAAAATAGTACAATAAATTTAGATTCTTTCTTTTATAATTAAGATTTCTTAAAAGATACAACAATGAAAGAAATTAATATATAAGCTACTCTTCTTATAAACAAAATATGTGGGAAGTTTGTTAAGAATTACCAGTTGAACTAAAATTAAGATAAAAACCAAGATCCACTAGAATAGTGCAAAACAGTACTCATCTGTAATCAAAGAGTTCATTTGCTTTTCATTGTTCCTGATATATATAACGAGAAATTATAACTAAAATTAATTTAATATTTAAATATTACATATATGTTAGCTAACTGACAATTTGAATATAATTTACTAAGTATGAAGAGAAAAATACAGCTGCCTGCCCTCCTCCCACCTCTGTTCTTCAGCAGATGAAATAAAAGAAACCATTTCAAAATGGAGGAAAAAGTGAATTTCCAGACTCAAAAGTAACAACTCATGAAGTATGTATTTTCTATTTGTTAAAGTTGAATGTGGCACTTTTAATAAGTAAACTATTTCTCAGTTTTCTCATTTAAATAAACTTTATAATTAAAATGAATTAAATCAGCATTCTATCCAAGAATGAAAGCTTAATAATTTAACCAGGTTGAGGGCAGAAATTAACCATATCACAGAATAATAAATTTACTTACATGAATACTGGATTTCTACTACTGGCTTTAGTAGTTTCAACAGTTTCTTGAGTGTCTTAATATTATTTAATGAGTTAAATATTCTGATCCCTCATGTTAGGTACAGAAATAATGAAGACTATGACACGGTCTTCCCTCAAGGAGCTTAAATCTACTTTATAAGTCAAATCTTAAATTAAGAATTTTGCAAGATGTTAAAAACTATTACTTTGGTTTCTGATCTAACTACTCACCATTCCTTTAAATAAAACTTATACTTTCATACCTTTGTGTCCCAAGTGACACTGTTCTAGTTGCCCAGAATATCCCCCCTTTTCTAACCTTTCTTCTGGCCTAAGAACACCCAAATGGAAGTCTTCTGCTCCAAAAGCAGGATTTAGTTTCATTCTATATGCCATTATAGCAGTGAATGGCACCAGTACGGCAGCATTTCTCTTACAAAATCCTAATTAGCTTAAATGTGTTTATATAATTTCATATGGTCGGCATACAGCATAATGGTTGCAATACACAATTATTCAGGAAGTGTTTAATAAATTCTAAGGTTTGTAATATAACATATGGTCACAGTATTCATTAGTTCAGTATCAGGAACAATCTATACTTCAAACAAGGTAGATACATTCTAATAATATTTGCTTTTCTTCACTATGTTACTTTAATGCAAAAAAATAGTTTGGAAAGATCACTTACTGAAAAACGCCAACATGAAAATGCCATCATTACCCACTCTGAGCTGGTCTGCATCACTGAAGTCATCTCTTGGTGGGCACTCTTCCTCCTGAATCTGTAAACATGTAACATTAGAATAGCTCACTAAAATAATCACAACTTTATCATCTTAAATAAAAGAATAAGAACTTCAACAAAATCTAGTGCTCTCAATTTGCTGTATAGACAATATGAGATAATAAGTACAATGTCTGGCACAGAATAAGTAATCAATAAACATTAGCAAGCATTACTTTTCCATGGGCACCCTTGAAAAGAGTAACTTAAAAGGTAAACACAAAAAAGATAATGTTGAATAACATCAAACACATACAAAGGGTATCAAGAAGATAAATGCAATACTGCTGCATTAATATTAAATGGGGAAACAGAAACTTTCATAATCAGTGGTGGAATATAAATTGGTATAACCTCTATGGTGGGCAATTTGGCGATATTTATCAAAATTAAAATGTACATACCCTTTGATCCAACAATTCCAGTTTTTACAACATATTATAAAAATATATACACATATCCCCACTTATAAGAAATGATGTATTAAAGATAATTTGTTGCAGCAATGTTAATAAGAACAGAAGATTAGACACAATAGTGGACTATGTTAAGAGAGAATTCTCCATGGGTTTATTATGTTTCTACATGTCTTCTAGGCAGAGGCACTGGCTGCCTTTTTGTGAGAGTTTATACAGTGGACAGCTTTGGAAGAGAGACAGCATCTCCTTTCGGAGGTGTGGGCATTCTTATTGACCATTAGAAAAGAGTTGGGTTCCCTATCCCAGGGTTCCTCTCCTATGACTCAACACACTGAGCATGTAGGTTATCAGTTAGCCCTCTTTGTGTAGCCCTGTGGGAACTGGAGGTCAGGGAACTGGCACAGAGCATGCTAATATTCTGGCTACTGCTATTGTGTGAATAATAGTCTTTTTCTCAGACCCAGCAGTCTCATGTCTTCTGCCAGCATCCAAGGAACTGTGACGACTTAGTCCATTAGCTTGCAAGTCTGTATATAACTCGTGATTCCCCCAAAACTTAACTCTTAATAGCCCACTGTTCACTAGAAGCCCTACTGATAACATAAATTATGTGTCAACCAACACATAAATAAGACTAGTATCTACATATATTTTATGCTTTCAAGATACGCCTAACTTTTTCTTAATTTTTTCAATATTTCTAGGCTATGCAGTTTGTCCACAAGTTTTTTCAAATTGCTGCAAATCTCTAAAACATTTTCCAATACATTTACTGAAAACAATCTGCACATTAGTGGACTCATGAAGTTCAAAAACCCATATTGTTCAAGGGTCAGCAATACTAAAAAAGAAATCTACATACACACTCTTATGCATAAAGACTATTTTTGATATTGCTAAATGTACACATCAATTAACAAAAAATATTATCAAAAGAAACGATAAACTGCTCTTACTCTTTGAGATGTTTCTGCTGCTGCAGCTGCCATCGCAGCAGCTTTAGCTTTCTCAGCTTCATCATATGTAGGAAGAGAGGTAGCAACACTGTAGGGAGGTGGCACAGGATAAAACTCACTGTAAACTTCTGAATCTGAAGAAAGAGGATTTAAAAGGATAACCATTAAAAACAAAACTAATATAAAATTTATAGTCATCACCAGAACTTAATAATTTACAATAGGTCACTAAAAACTATGATTGCTATTGTGGTCCTATGTTATAAGCTATAAAACATGTAAATTACTATTATCATCATAAGTCTTATTTTAGTCCAAATTTATCATGAAAAGAAAGAACTGATAAATATCATCTAAAGGCTAATACACAAAAACCTCAAGAATGAGGTTCTGAAAAGGAGTAACAGACAAGAGGTAAAAATCTCATAATATATAAGCATCCTTATGCAGTATGCACAAAGAACTTAGTTTACTTGCCTATTATCTCACAGCCAAAAACATAAAAAAATGAATAATATTTATATAGTACTAACCATTTCATAGATGACTTCTACATGCATTAATCTTAGCTACTCTGAGGTTCAGAAAAATTAAGTGATTTGCCCAATACCAAACAACCATTAAGTGGGAGACCCAGGAGTTCCTGACCCCAAATACTTTGGTCTGACAACACATACACATGTTGATTTTGGCAACTGTCCCAATCTCTTAAGCAAACTCAGGTATTTCTCTTTGCTAACAGATTAAAAATTTTTTACTCTTTTCCATTCTTATCCCTTTCTCCTCCCATTTTCCTCTTATCTACCTAGTTCTTTAGATTTTTTTTTATTATTTCTCCCTCAATTTTAAACTATTTTAAAATAAAATCTCCAGAAACATATAACAAAAGTAAGTACAGACTTCTTATTTTAAAAATAAAATTGTATCACTAATTTCCAACATAAAGCAGTGTAAGTAAAATGATAGAGGCCAACCAAATGATTAGACTAATGCTACAATCAATGACATGGTAAAAAAAAAAAGGTAGATTATAAAAATAGTATATACCATAGTGTTTGACAACACTTTTGTAATTTCCTCCATTATAACTATAGTATTATTATACAGGCATACCTGGTTTTATTATCCTTTGCTTTATTCTACTTTACAAATACTGCATTTTTTACAAATTGAAGGTTTGTGGCAATTCTGCATTGACAAGTCTATCACCACCATTTTTCCAACATCATGTATGCTCACTTTGTGTCTTTGTGTAATTTTCAAACTTTTTCAGTATTATTATATAATTTATGGTGATCTGTGACCAGTGATCTTTGATGTTACTAGTGTAATTGTTTTGGGGTATAAAGGACATAGAAAAGAGCAAACTTAGTTGATGAATGTTGTGTGTGTCCTGATGGCTCCACCAACCAGCTGTTCCTCATCTCTCTGCCACTCCTGGGGCCTTCTCTACCCGCTGAGACAGAGCAATATTGAAATTAGGCCAATTAATAACCTTACAATGGCCTCTAAGTGTTCAAGTGAAAGGATGAGTCACATGTCTCTAACTTTAATTCAAAAGCTAGAAACGATTAAGGTTAGTGAGGAAAACACTTCATTTGTGAATCCAAAGGAAAAGTTCTTGAAAGAAACTGAAAATGCTACTCCTGATTGGGCCCAGTGACTCACACCTGTAATCCCAGCACTTTGGGAGGCCGAGCAGAGGACTGCTGATGCCAGGAGTTCAAGACCAGCCTGGGTAACATAATGAGACCCCGTCCCTACAAAAAATTTTAAAAATTGGCTATTGCCTATAGCCCTAGCTACTCAGGACGCTGAGCTAACAGGATCACTTGAGCCCAGGAGTTGGAGATTGCAGTGAGCTGTGATTATGCCATTATGTTCCAGTCTTGGTGTCTTGGTGACAGAGTGAGACTGTGTCTCAAAAAAAAAAAAGGAGGGGGGCTACTCCAATGAACACATGAATACTAAGAAAGTAAAACAGCTTTATTAATGATGTGGTGAAACTTTTAATGATCCGGATGAAAAAACCTAACCAGCCACAACATTCCCTTCAACCAAAGCCTAATCCAGAGCAAGGTTCTAACTCTTCAATCTATGAAGGCTAAGAGAAGTGAGGAAACTGCAGAAGTTTGAAGCTTACAGAGGTTGGTTCATGAGGCTTAAGGAAGGAAGCTATCTCCATAACCTAAAAGTACAAGGTGAAGCAGCAAATGCTAATGGAGAAACTGCAGCAAGTTATCCAGAAGATCTAGCTAAGATCATTGATGAAGGTGGCTATACTAAACAACAGATTTTCAATGTAGACAAAACAGACTTCTGGTAGAAAATGTCATCTAAAACTTTCCCATCATGACCTAATGACCTCCCAAAAAAATAAAAAATAAAAAATAAAAAAAAAATAAAACTTTCCCAGCTAGAGAAGAGGTCAATGCCTGACTTCAAAACTTCAAAGGAGAGGCTGACTCTCCTTGTTAGGGGCTAATGTAAATAGTGACTGATTTCTCTGATGGGATCTGGACAAATTAAATTGAAGATCTTCTGAAAAGAATTCACTATTCTAAATGCCATTAAGAACATTTATGAGGCTGGCACAGTAGCTCATGCCTATAATCCTAGCACTCTGGTAGCTGAGGCAGGAAGACTGCTTGAGGCCAGGAGTTCAAGACCAGTCTGAGCAAAAAGAAAGACCACATCTCCACAAATAATAGAAAAATTAGCTGGACATAGTGGTGCATGTCTATAGCCCCAGCTATTGAGGAGGATGAGGCAGGAGGATCATCCTGAGCCCAGGAGTTTGAGGTTGCAGTGAGCTATGATCATACCACTACACTTTAGCAAGGGTGACAGAGTGAGACCCTGTCTCAAAAAAAAAAAAAAAAATTATGATTGAAGGGAGGAGGTCAAAATATCAACATTAATGGGAGTTTGGAAGAAGATGATTCCAACTCTTGTGGATGACTTGGAGGAGTTCAAGACTTCAGTGCAGAAAGTAACTATAGATGTGGAATAAACAGCAAGAGAATTAGAATTAGAAGTGGAACCTAGATATGTGACTGAACTGCTGCAATCTCATGATAATACTTGAATGAATGAGGAATTGCTTCTTATAGATGAGCAAAGAAAGTGGTTTCTTGAGATGGATTCTACTCTTGATGATTCTGTGAACACTTGAAATGACAACAAAGAAGTTAGATTACATTTAGAAATTTAGTTGATAAAGCAGCAGCAGGGTTGGAAAAGACTCCAATTTTTAAAGAAAATAAAAATTGAGTTCTACTCTGGGTAAAATGCTATCAAAGACAATCATATGCTACAGAGAAGTCTTTAGTAAAAGGAAAAGTAAATTGATGTGGCCAACTTCATTGTTGTCTTATTTTAAGAAAGTTCCATCTCAACCTTGAGCAACCACCAATCAGTCGCCATTAACATCAAGGCAAGACCCTCTACCAGCAAAAAGATAACTTGCTGAAGGCTCTGATGATCATTAGCATTTTTTAGCAATAAAGGTTTCAATTAAGGTATGTATTCTTAAAAAACATAATGCTATTATAAACCATTATAATAGACTACAGTACAGTGTAAACATAACTTTTATGTGCACTGGGAAACCAAAAAATTCACATGACTTACTTTATTATAATATTTGCTTTATTGTGGTGGTCTAAAACTGAACCAACAATACCTCTAAGGTATGCCTGTATTTTTTACATATGTTTATAATTTTCTCTCTCTATCAGCATGTCTTGCAACTTTCAACATGAAAACACATTTTACTCTAGCAATACTTATCCTATTTTATTTTCATGTACAAAGATTTTAAAATAATTTTTTTAACGCTATCAGGAACAGCTAAGGATCTGAAGTTAGGTCATTTTTAACCTAATGACAGGAAGTGGCTGTAGCAGTATAATGGATAACATTCCATCAGAAGAGACAAGAGTCAAAAATTCTTAGAGAAGATTTCTTTTCAGGATGTAAAACCACCATAAGCATTTAAGTAAATAGATTTCTTTAGTTCTAAAACTAGAATAGAAGTAAAATCTAAGTGAAAACAGTGGTTATAAAATTGAAAGCAATAATATTAAACTGGTAAATTTTAAAAAACTGAAACAAGGACACACATTATCCAAGGAGATGTGATCTTTTATATTAACAAGTATGTAAACTTGAAAAGTTTTAACACTCAAGATAGAAAAAAATACCCACCACTAATAGATAAAAGTTGGGTAGAAGCACTAAATTGTTACAACTTTAAGTTTTACTTTTTAATTTTACTCATTTTTCTTCTCTCCTTTAAGGTAGTGGTCTTCAACCAGAGGATTTAAAGTCTAGGGAGCTCCAGCTCTAAATTCTCTTCTTAGAAGTTCTGTGACCTCATGCAAATCACTTAACCACTATGAAGTCCATTTTCTCATCCATAACTGACCCAGGAGGACTGTTAGTTGCTATTATGGGATGAAGCAGAAGAGTATTCAAGAGAACTCTTTAAACTGTGAAGCATTATACAAATGTCACATATGATTATCGATGTTGCTCAGATCTACAAAAACAAGCCATAAAGTGACCTAATGAGGAATACAATCTCCACAGAAAACTAGCATGCCAAATGCTTAAAATACAATCATACATCACCTAATGACAGGGATATGTCCTGAGAAATGTGTTAGGTGATTTAGTCATTGTGGAACATCATAGAGTGGACTTATACCAACCTAGATGGCACAGCCTACTACACACCTAGGCTATTACAGCCTATTGCTCCTAGGCTACAAACCTATACAGCATGTGACTGTATTGAATAGGCAACTGTAACACAATGTATTTATATTATCTAAATATATCTAAACATAGAGAGGGTACAGTAAAAATATGGTATTAAATATAAAAAATGGTACACCTGTATAGGGCATTTACCATGAATGGAGCTTGTAGGACTGGAAGTTGCTATGGGTGAGTGAGTGGATGTGAAGGCCTAGGACTTTACACTACTATGGATTTTAGAACCCCTGTACCTACCTGGGGCTATACTAGGTTTATTAAAAAGTATTTTTTCCTTCTTCAATAAATAAATAAATTAACCTTAGCTTACTGTAAAGTTTTTACATTATTTAACTTTGTAATAACATTAGCT